CGGGTTTGATTCCCAGTACCATGGCCCTGTGATGAGTGCCTGTAATCCCAGTGATGGGGAGGCTGAGACAGGAGGATCACTACGAGTCCAAGCTGCATAGAGAGACCCTATTCCAACTAAAATAAAGATTAAAACAACAACAATAACAACACTGAGATTCCATTTCAATCCAGAAAAAATAGCTATGATCAAGAAGTCAAACAATAGGGCCTGAGACTAGCTCAGTGGCTTAAGTGTCTGCCTGGCAAGTGCAACGTCCTGAGTTAAAGAAAAGAAAAAGTCAACCAATTACCAATGCGGGAGGGTCTGTGGGGAAAAAAGGGCTATAGTTGGAAGTGCAGACTGGCACAACCACTGTGGAAATCAGTGTAGAGTACTCAAAAACTAGGATTAGAGGTTCCATTCAGCCCGGCTAGTCCCCTCCTGGGTATTTTTCCAGAACAAATGAAAACATCGTACCACAGTGATGTATGTGCACCCACGTTTATAGCAGCACAATTTGTCATAAGGAAATCTTGGGAACAACCCAAATGCTTATCAGCTGAGGAATGGATAAAAAAGATGTGGTATTTTTACAATGGAGTATTACTCAGCTATAAAGAAAGATAAGCTTAGGGGCTGGGCAGATGGCTCAGTAGCATAAGCACTTGCCTGGCAAGTGCAAGGGCCTGAGTTCAATCCCCAGTTCTGTACCCCCCCACCAAAAAAAAAAGAAAGATAAGCTTTAGGCTTTTTTTTTTTTGTGTGTGTGTGTGTGTGTGTGTGTGTGTGTGTGGAATGGGGGATTGAACTCAGGCCCTTGCGCTTGCCAGGCAAGTGCTTAGTCCACTGAGCCATCTCCCCAGCCCAGCTTTAGGCTTTTATAGGTAAATGGGTGCAACTAGAAACCATACTTATAAGTGAAATAACTTAGACCCTCATGTGTAAATATTGTATTGTCTCCCTACTGTAAGAACCTGAAATAGTATTTAACATTCAAATTTTACAATGAAAAAATGCAGTGAGGGCTGGTGAGATGGCTCAGTGGTCTAAAGCACCTACTTAGAACAAGCTTAGCAAAGCACAGGGACCGCGGTTCAATCCCCAGCACC